TTGCTTTATTTAAGAGATCTTATTTATAGAAATTTTGTGAAATAGGAAAATGAGAACTTTCTGGTTTGAAGGTATTAATTAGAAAAGGAAACAAGATCATCATCAATAACATAGCCGTTAGTTTTGATTAGTTTCCTTTTTGTAATTAGCCGTTTGCCTTGTTCAATTTTCTTTCCTTTTTGTATTTTTCCATTGCTTAGGATTGGACTAATTTTTGGCCTTACCATATTCGGATACATTGTTTCTTCTTCCTCTTCTTATCATTATATTAAAGAGTTATCTATTTACTATAATAGAAATTTGAATATTTAATTTTAACCTTAAATTAAAAATTTTAAATTAATAAATATCAATTTAAAAAAAGTCTTATTGATGCCAAAGTACCCTTGTATATATATTGTACTGCTTCTTGATTAATTATATGGAAGATATGACATATTTTTTAATATTATATATTTTCTAATATTATTGCATGTTTTCTAATATAATACTGTCATTTTTCATTTGTGGTATGTTAGGAACTTGAGGGATGAGCAATTCGTGTAAGCTTGGCACAAGGAAGAAAATCTTAAGATGATATAGCCAAAGTGTACAAAATTTGACAAGCACTGAAGGTAAATGTCAAAGTCATAGAAGAGATGGAAGGACAAAGATATGTGCATAGCCTAGATGTGCAGTCACCAATCCCTTTCCATTTTTTGTCTATAATTCATTTACCTTCAACTACTTCGGTGTGGGAATTGTGACAATTTCTCTAGCACCTTTGGTAATATTGATAGTTTCTCTAGTACCTCTGGTAATATTGATAGCATGGAAGGCCTATAAGGAGACCTAAGAAAATATCAGGCCCTATGGCAAGGACGGGTTGTCTCAAAGGCTAAGGCTGTTGCGTGCAGCCTGTCCTTCTATGAAATTCACTCTCATCTACATCTATAGTCATCTTTTTGTATATATATATCAACATCTCATTTTGTTGACATTTTGTTTTTGATATGTATTCCTTGGAATTTTGTTCACCTAATTCACCCATTTGAGGTTAAAGTATGTTTGCTGCCTCTCTCTGTAATCTTAGAGGATTCATTTAGATATTGATTACAATAATGAAATTCTTGAACTTCTTTTACTAAGAGATACCTTGTCATCACTTCAGCTTGTTGTTGAAGTCATAGATGAAGTTCAGTAAAATGAATAAAGGTTAGGAAGTATATTTTCTAATGCATTGCCTAATCATCAAATGAATAAAAAATAAAGCAGTAGATAATCCTTTGTTTCAGAAATTGACTTCTTACTTTTAATTTTTAGTTTTAATTTTATTCATTATTAGCCTCGAAGTATATGATGATGTACAATTAGATATGGAACTATAGATGAAATG